CATTAACATTGCATCATGAAACAATATTGGGAACATATAAAACTACGGTTTTAATTACATTTCTCCTGATTTCATATCATAAATGAACTGTATTTGCATTGCAAATTATTGCTATAAATTAGTTCACATTCTACTGTAGCTAATTGTGTCAATAAGAATAAAATTATAAAGAATTGTATGTCATCGTTATATGAAAACATGTCAAAACCCCTATTAATGGGACAATTTCACGTTTTTGGTTAGTGTCCCCCCACCCCACCAATTCAAGACTTCTAGATACGCCACTGGAAAGAAAGTAGTTAGGGATGGCTGACTGTATAGGCCTATGTTTGAAAATTTATAGGTCTATGAATGTATTAAATAAGCCTTTGAAACCCCTAAACTGTCATATTTTCGGGGGCTTCACCCCTATGGAACACTTTTGAGAGATTTTGAGCGACGCCCGATCACTCCTGCTTCGTCGGGGAAATCACCCCATCCACCCCTTTGGGAACCTCGTACCCCCATCAGGCAAATCCTTGCGCCACCACTGCAAGCAGTGGTAACACCCATACTAATAAATGATTTTAAATAATCATGAATAAACAGTTGGGAGCCGTGGCGTATACTACAGAGGCTCAAGACCCCTCCCCTGGAAGGCTTAGCGGGCAGTTAACTACCTGCACAAATAATGCCATTTGTATTGTATAAGTAAAGCTCCAGAGGTGTTAACTACTCCTCCCTGATTACTGAATAAAGGGATAAGCTAATTGTATTAAGGTAAAGTTTACATTAATTTGTAGTTTTGTATAATAAATATCAATATTGATTTAGTAGATTTGCCACTTTGTTTGGAAAAACATGAGCTCTTCCTTGTATTGTAGGGCCTAGACCTTAAGGGATTTAAAAAAAATGATTATAACTTTAATTTCACTCCAGTATATACACTAAATTGTATAGAAGGATTAAGTATGACGTTAGTTCTGTCGCTCACTTTCACCTGTTGTTTTATTTTATTTTATTTATTTATTTATTTATTTATTCATTCATTCATTCATTCATTCATTCATTTATTTATTTTTATTTATTTATTTATTTATTTATTATTTTTTTTTTTTTTTAATTAAAAAAAAAAAATTTAATGGTATTGTAAGTCCTAAACTATGTAAATGTTTAGAGATATCTTTATTTTATAGCTATTTCTATAAAAATGCTTTAAGTAAATCATCTTTAAAACATATAAAAGTGAACCTAAAATGGAAAAGTATTTATTAGAAAAGTGTAACTTCCATACATCAACTTTAAAATTTAAAGTTTTCTCTAACTCACTATCTCTTGAAGGAAGAAAGGAATCTTGGTCACCTCAAAATTTAGGCTTAGGGATGTGACTGCACGAAAGGAAACCATCAATCATTTTGTATTTGATGGTACTAGATTAAATAACATTAGAAATTTAATATTTTTCCAACTTAAAGAGGAGCTGAACAACAAGAATTTACATATGTTTTGGGAAGTATTCACATCAACAACTTAAATACCTTTTTTTTATGATTTCGGAATCAATTACGAATATCAAATTTTAACCACAAGTTGTATAAACCCTATTAATTATATTATTGCGAGTAAAGTTTTCGATAACCATTGTAAATTATTTTGAACAACGGTATGGAAAGAACGAAACGAAACATATAATAGGCCTACTTTTCTATTGCATGACTAATATGTTTTTTTGTTTTTTTTTTGTTTTTTTTTTAGTTTAATGTTATTGATTTAAATATTAACTTACTCTTCATGGCTTAACTAAGGATTGGGCGATACTAATACCCCATTCAGACTAGCATCGCATTGCGATCGGTTGTAGCAATTGCGACACCCAATCGCATCCAATCGCAAAGTAAAATCGTGTGTGAAAGCTCACCAATAGTAGTCGATATGTAATCGATATCGCAATTGTTACCCATTGCGATTGGGTGCTACAATCTTTATTACTCCCGATTACCACGGAATCCGATCGCAACGAATGACAACAAATTCCACAGGCGCTGTTTGGCTGAGGTCAGGCAACGTAAGCCTAGCCACCGGAGGCTAGGCCCTAGAATGTAAAGTTCGTTTGTGTTGGTCTGAATGCGTTCGTTGATTGCGATCGGGAGTACTCAGTTTTGGATTACCACCGATTACATCGCAACCGATCGCAACAGAGTGTAGTATTACTTATACAAGGCTCCTTTCTATTGATAATTCTTCTCGCAAAATGACTTTTTATATAATATACATACGGAAGCAAATATTTCATTAGTAGACAATACGAAACAACGTAGATAATTAACTCTAATAAATGAGTCCCATCCCTTACTTATTTATAACAGATATGACTTGCTGTCTAAGACGCAAACGAAGAAGAATCGGGCCCATCATTTTTCTTTAATCTGCACAGCGTATAAAAAAAGAGTCTATCCTTCCTTCATTACGTCAGATCCTAAATTTATAAGATTATTCAAAGATACTCAGTTACAAGTTCAGTTATTGCCTTCAATAAAAAGAGGAAGTCATATCCCACAATAATATATCTGTCTCTTATACACATCTAGATGTGTATAAGAGACAGGCTCAAGACCCCTCCCCTGGAAGGCTTAGCGGGCAGTTAACTACCTGCACAAATAATGCCATTTGTATTGTATAAGTAAAGCTCCAGAGGTGTTAACTACTCCTCCCTGATTACTGAATAAAAGGATAAGCTAATTGTATTAAGGTAAAGTTTACATTAATTTGTAGTTTTGTATAATAAATATCAATATTGATTTAGTAGATTTGCCACTTTGTTTGGAAAAACATGAGCTCTTCCTTGTATTGTAGGGCCTAGACCTTAAGGGATTTAAAAAAAATGATTATAACTTTAATTTCACTCCAGTATATACACTAAATTGTATAGAAGGATTAAGTATGACGTTAGTTCTGTCGCTNGTTGGACAGGCCTGGACCTGTCTCTTATACACATCTAGATGTGTATAAGAGACAGATGTTAAAACATACGCGAACACGTGCGTTTGTGGGACAACACGTGTGTTTGTGAGACGCACGCGTATCCCTAGCGCTGTTCTGATTAGTCAGTTGATAAGTTTGATTGACACTCCGGAAAGGTCTATAAGTCCTCCTGCTGTCACGCCGTTTCCACCTGATGCCTAGTAATGAATAACATTGTTAGTCGTGGTCTACTGTATCTCTGATCTTTCTAAACTGCGTCTCTGTCAAAGGCACATAGACCTATACATTAGTGAACACGTAAATTAGGCCTACCGTTTATTTGTGAAGAGGTTACTTGACGAACCTAGGCCTGTGCGATTTAATCGAAAGAAAATGAATAAATAAAATGTTATATAATTTATTATTATTGTTATCAAATATTATTATAATCACCACCAGGTAAATTTGTGTTTTATGAAAAAAAAATCTTTCTTGACCTCCAGGATGGTGGGCTTCGTTTTGCTACGTCATTTTAAAATGTAATACATAGACCGCATCGAAATTCCATGTATTCACAAATAAGAAAAAGTATAATTATAATTAATATTCAAATACAAAATCTATCTACAGGGTCTTCGGCACCATTATGACACTGCTGTTACTATGGTGCCGCTTGAATGTAGGTAAGAATGGCCCCGGAAAAAATGGCCCAGGAAAAAATGGCCCCGGAAAAATGGCTCCAAATGACAAGTAGGTAAAAATGGCCCCAATGAAACAATTCAGTAATATAAATTATTTTTTTTTTAAATCTTCAAATATTTAAATACTGTAGTAAGCAAGAATTGAATCAATAACAAATACAGTTACACAACAGATGCAAAAATGTACTGAGAGATTATCAGAAAACAATGGCCATTGAACATTTTTTGATAGTTGAAATAACTTTTAAAAACGTTATTCCACTAACAAAGTAGAGGAATGACATACTTCAACTACCAAAAATGCAACTCATAGATAACCACAAAATTCACTTTTGTTAAGTATCAAATGAAATAACTTTACATGTTATAAACAGTGCAAATAAACAGTAGTTAAAGCACGTGGATCAATTGTGTGTTTGAATGAAAAGTTCATGTATGGGAAAAGGGAGGCTAACTTTACTTCAACAAATGTTCTGCTTAGAGTTACTTCAAAGAAGTATTTGTTAATAAAATATTGTTTTTAAAGTAAACTGAATAATTAGGAATACATTTATTTAACTTATTTAATTGTATACTTGGTTTCTACTCCCCGCCAAGTAAATTTAAGTGCCTAAAACTATACTAAATAATGTAAACTGAGATACTATACTATATACATAGTTATGTAAATATGGCAATTATGCTAAGACTTAAAATGGCGTGTAATTCTGAGGGTAAAGTAGTTATGGTAGGATCATTAATGGTATTGCTAAATCCCAAAAACTTCCTAAAACACACTGTAGAAAACCAAACAATTCAATTGTGATTGACTCACTTG